GTCTTGCAGGTCAGTGGCATAGTCTTCACTACCAACAGACCCAAATCATCTGCCTGACTGAACGATAGTCAGGAGACTTCAGCTCCCAAAATAATATCCAGTAAATCCACCCATGAAAATGGCTCGTTCAATTCTCACAGTAAATCACAGTTTCATAATTTAACTCATGGCAACAGTAACAAACTATTTACTGTTTCCACACCAGTGAAAGACACTGACAAGAATTAGAAACTGGGAAGCCAAGTTTGGAACTTATGTATCAACTGTTATGCAGGGATCTTTTTATTAGCATTTCTCCTGTATTAAACAGACCAGACTGATGCTTTACACATGTTCAAAAAAGGCTGTGCTTTAAGCATAACTACCTACCATTATTTTAAGCTACCAAAACCAATGTCAGCAATTGAGCCAGCAAATCTGGTGATATAATCCATGTACCAACCAGACTGTCAGAAAAGGAAAACAAGTCTTGTATTTGCCACGGTCATTCTCACATGCTGATGTTACACACGTGTTATTTCAAAAGACTCAAGCCCTTCCAAACTCCATTTCTTTACTATTCCCTCACATTTCCCTTTAAGGGGATGATACAATCTGTAGAACCATCTTTCAATCAAGAAATCAGCAGGGTCATTTCTCCTGAATAACTTATTTTGATAAACCTTTTAATTCCCTTGGTACTTGGCAAGTATTTGGCCATTGATCTGGTTGGTAAGAAGAGGATGGTACTTGTACTACTGTGTTTTAATTGAGGGAAGCATTAACCAAAATAAAAACGCAGAACAGAAACTAGGGGTTTTCATATTAAATACAGAAACACAGACAATACGTCTATGTGTCATTTTGCTGGTCTGTTTACTGTAGTGGATAACATTTCAACTCTTAACTCAGACCTGCCTCTCCCCAAAAATACATTTGTTTCCCCACACACTGTGTAAGAAACTGGGCCATACTCTTCCAAATATCTTCTACATACACAAATTGTAACACCTCAGAGAACATTAGGAAACAAATAAAACCAACCCATATTCAGACAGCTATACAGGTGTACACACATCCCAGAAAAACTATATAGCATAGCAATAGCAGAATGGATTTCCACCTGATTAGAACAGGTTTTGTTCTTAAACAGGATGCCTGCATGTGATTAAACGATACTCATGCAGGACTGCTGGACCTGATGACTGCTGGAAAACAATATTCTTTTTAGCTCCTTTTGATGGCCTCCAACACTGGTTCAACCAAACAAGTTCAATGATCCTTTCAGAATGCTATGTAAGTTCTATTGACAATATAAGTAAATAAATTTAGGGTAAAAAATTCTCTGTGAGCTCTGGACCCAGAACTAGGCCCTAGGAAGTCAGCATCACCATGTATAATTCGGTGTAGTAAAAGCATCTCTCATTATCTTTCAACACCAACACGTAAGTACCACAGCAACAGACCAGTAGCTCAGCAGCACCCTCCATCTGATAACATCACATTGTTAGGTGCTACCATCACCACTGCATCATCCATGCTGACCTCATTCACGGTCCTACACATCCCTGACACCCCTGCTCCACACTGCTCCAGCACTGGCTGCCACAGGGCCCTTCCTGTTCCCAATGGGTGGGCAGTGACTGTATCCCATTAGCAGAAAGAGGGAAGTGCTGCTGACAGTTTATGGAAACTTTCCTTTTCCTAGCCCATCAGCAATAATTCATGCCATGGAGATGCCTTTTCCAGCAGCAGTATCATTAAAAGGACATCATCCATCGAGATGCCGAAAGAAAACAAATCAAGGGAGGGCTAATAAAAATGATTTACAGTGTTTGAAACCTTTCTGCACCTAGCAAAACGTTTGATGAAAGAGAGGAGTAAGTAGAGATTTCCCAGCCTTCTGTTTAGATCAACTTAAGGTACTGGCAAAAGTGATTTTTTTTAATCTTGCTAAGAAAATGGACAGAAATGCCAATGGCAAATTCTGCTTTCCACAGCAAGATTTCTCTTTGTGCTTAGAACACAGCCCTGGTTACCCCCATATCCAAACTTACTTATTTATGATTAAAGCTCAGATATCATCAAACTGCTCAGTACTATACCACTTTCCCTGAAATGCACAATAAATTGCAATGAAATGTTTTTACATCTCAGAAAGCCCTCTTTTTCCTTTAGAAAAAATTTATTTACACATTTTCATATAACATCTTTTGTTGACATTCTGCAAACAATACTATCCAATAAGGTGCCGAGTTTTTCTTCTTGCGGAGTAACTTTGTACATCTGCAGAGAAAGAAAACCATAAAACATGTGTAAGGAAGAAAAAAATTCATCACATGTCTTCTAAAAATATGTACCCAAGGTTTGCCCTTCTCCCACACTTTTTACACTGGAAATTTTAATCTTGTCATGACTGCGATATAAAATTGGGACTAAGGAACCAAGGAAATTCTGAAATGGCAAGACATAAAGCTAAGAAACTGAATGAGAGAAGCAATTTTAGCTCCACATGTTGTATGCTATTATTTGTCCAGTTTTATTCATGTCTCCCATCATTACTTTGACCAACATGATCAAAATTATTTAAGTTACTTGAATTTTAAGTTACTTGAAGTTAAACACATATGCTTCAAGATACTTATCTAGCATATGGTAATCTGCTAAGAGCACACATGCCCCAAAGCAGCTTCTAGCAGCTAATCAACACATTTTTAGTTCAGCCACCCATGCTGGGACTATTTATGTGTTTAAGATTATGAAACTGTTCAGGACTGGAAATTTATTTTTAATTAAATGAATATTTGCCTGAGAAAACAGGAAGCAAAGTGCCTGAATGGTAGGCAGCAATCTGGAATGTATTTTTATGTTCCAACTTCCTGACGATGCTAAGAATTTTAAGACTTAAAATTTATGCTGTTGGGGGTCTGACAACTAGAACTTCTTGCAACTAAAAAAATTGTAAGTAAGAAATGATCAAGTTCACTAAAACAGGTTTCCAGTTGTGCTAAAGAAATACAGACCCTAAGATAATGTCCACTTTTCTCTACACCAGTCATCTCTTTTGGCTACATACCTTTTTAACTCTGGCAGTGTCTGTTAGTTGGGGGAGTTCATTCAGAGAAACCTGCTGGCCTTCCACCTGAGTTACTATATCTCCCAGATTCACAGTTTTTTCTTTGTCCACAACCAGAACAATGAGCACCGCTGTGTCACTGTCTGAAATGCCAAACTTTTTAAATGCATCTGAAATCTAAGAAAGCATAAAAAATAAGAAAATATTATGAGTCATTTTCTCACTATATATGAGCAACCTTTTCAGCTACAGGCTCAAACAGACTAAGAATATAAACTGTCAGTTTTACATTAATGTAATTCTGACAAGCTACAAGAGATAACAACGTATTAGTGTTAATAAAAATAGCTGTGACTTCTATTAGTAGCCAGGTAAACAGTTCGTAGAATCATAGAATAGTTAGAGTTGGGAAGGACCTTAAGATCGTCTAGTTACAACCCCCCTGCCATGGGCAGGGACACCTCCCACGAAACCATGTCACCCAAGGCTCTGTCCAACCTGACCTTGAATGAATAAATCTATTTAGTTTGGCTGCATGGATCTTGGCAACCTTGTCTGACAATAAAAGACATTTGTTCAGTAAATCTTACATTGTTGTTTGGTGAAAGGCTGAAAATAATTTCGGCATTGAGAGTTCTGGTTTTCATTTTACCTATCCTGTGCAGATGAACAGCTTTGTTGGCCGCCACAAGAATTTGAAAAGGATCTACAATCTGTAAAACACAACGAAGAAGTTGAACAGAAATTTAACTTCCTATTTTGAACTCTGAAAAAAATCCTGACCACTAAATTTTGACAGCATAAGTCTACCTCATAGAGGGGAGGAAACCAGTATTTTACTAGTTACTTTAGCAATTCTTGCTCTTCCAAAGTCATGTGATTATTGCCTGTGTACAGTTATACTTGACAGAGTCAAGACTATGCTCTCTCAATCAGGTTACTGAAATCTTTTGAAAAAAGAATCACATTAATAAATCTTCTGTCAGTAAATTGTCAGATTATTTTTTTTTCACCTTTCCTAACTACAGCTTTGCTAATTCTAACAAAAAAGGCCAGATTCAGAAAATAGTTATGGGTTTAAATGAGAAAAAAGGCTCCAAATATTAGGTTTTGGACAGCATAATGCAATTAGTACTGCATTTCACAGATGGGAGCAGGTTTAAATAGCTCCACCAAGCAGGATGTGAAGTGAACCAAGGCGACAACTGTTCTGGCCAATCCTGCCAGGGCTTATTTCACACAGATGAACCCTTACACTGTACAACACCGTAATGAAATCAGAGGAGGAGCATTTGCAGTGTATAGCAGCAACTCGTGTGACAAGTGATTACAAGCATAGGCTGTTCTTCACGGAGTTCCCATAGAGGAGGATTTCCACGCTGCATTTAGAACTGTAACGCAGTCCGAACGGGAGGGCATAGGCACTCAGGCACTCACTCACCATGGCAGGGTTTATTAATGCTCCTTCGATGGACCCTTCCATGGCCTTCTTCCTTAGAGCAGCTGCATTTTTCACGTGGTTGAAGAGGAGGAGGGTGACGGTGCAGTCAGGGAACAGCTCCAGCCCATGCGTTAACTCCATCCTGCAGGACCAGCCCGGGAGCGTCCGGCAGCACCAACCCTACACCATTTACCAAAACAATGAACGAACACGCACCCGCTCCTGTCCCGTATAAAACACAGTTTCAATAACACCATTCACAGATGGTTTTTAAAGTCTCCCGGAGGGCAAGCCCCATGCGTGCGGCTCCACGGCCGGAGGCAGGCCGCACCTCCCGACCCGCCCGCCGGTCCCCTCATCCTCCCCGCCCGGCAGCCACCAACCGCGCCTGGCTCCTCCTGCCCTCCCGGCCCGGCCTGGCCTGGCCTGGCCTGGCCTGGCCACCTCTGCCCCCCACCGCCCCTCACCGCCGCCCGCCGAGCAGCACAGCCGCGTCCCCCACCGCCAGGCCCCACCTCCCGCGCCCAGCCCTTCCCGGAAGGGCGGCCCCTTCCCAGCCCGGCCTTCTCGGCGCGGCGGCGGCAGCATGGAACGGTCGGAGGCCTACGGCTTCTCCGCGGTCATGAGCGGCGCGTTCCTGCTGTCGTGCCTGCTGTTCGCGGCCGTCAATCGCGGGCAGCGCGGACCCTACATGGACGAGGCCTTCCACGTCCCGCAGGCACAGGCCTACTGCCAGGGACGCTTCCTGCAGGTGCGGCGCGGAGCCGTGCCAGTCAGAGCGATGCTTTGTATGAACGTGCCGTGGGCGTTTCGAAAAGAGAATACTCTGTGGTCGTCGTTGCCCCAAACGCTGCTTTCTGCTTCTTGGTGGTGCAGGATACGGAGTGTTCAAATATTCTAGTGTAGTAATGCCAGCAGTGCACCAAGCATCCAAGCTAAGAACGGGGAGCGGGTGGGCATGCTGTGGCATACCCCGCTGTGTGTCTCGGGTCCCTTTTCTGTGTGATAGCAGCCCATAACCTGTTTCTTGCTCCACTTTGCAGTGGGACCCGATGATCACCACACTGCCGGGCTTGTACCTGGTGTCGGTGGGAATAGTGAAGCCTGTGGCATGGCTCTGTGGATGGACGGGAAGCGTGGTGTGCTCTACAGGGATGCTCAGGTTTATTAACCTGCTTTTCAGTGCTGGGAACTTCTATTTATTGTATTTACTTCTGTCCAAGATCCATCAGAAGAATAAGGTATGGTGAAAGTAGAATTACTTTGTGTACTCGTACATTTTATACACTTGTACAAGCAATTTTGGTACCTCAGTGTATGTTTTGCTATGTATGTGAGCAAGCTTTATGTAACTGCAAGTACTACTACCAGTTCGGCCAAGGAGGCATGTTCCTTTTTCCATTTTTTTGTTTTGATTTTTTTTTTTAATATTTTTTCTCTTTCAGGGTGCAAACCTCTAAAAGTTTACTCTTGTGTGTAACGATAAGTAGCCCCATTGAAATAAAACTTAAAGTTACTGTCCAAAGGTCTGAACGCTCATCTAGTTGAAATTGCTTCTGACTTTCCAGAAAATTTCAGCCACTGAATCCTGAGTGAAGCCCTGTAAGCTGTGTTTAAACTAAACTCTGTTCTTCTGAAAGATACCAGGTTTCATACCAGTATTTAGAACCAAAGAATAATTCAAGTTGCAAAGTGGGGAATAATTCAGGGCAGAAAGGACCTTAGAAGATCCACCCTTCAAGCTCAAAGCAGGCCACCCCTGAGGTCAGATCAGGTTGCTCTCTGGGCAACCTGCTCCATGACTGACTGCCCTCACAGTGGAAAAGATTTTTCTTACATCCAGTCTGAACCTCTCAGTTTATGCCTGTTGTCCCTTGCTCTTCCACAGTGTACCACTTTGAGGAGCCTAACTCTTTCAGCTGGTGATATTCTCAGGTATTTGTAGGCTGCTGTTCAGTCCTCCCAAGCCATCTATTTTCCAGACTGGATAAGGCCAGCTCCCACAGCCTCTGCTCTTCGAGCATATATTTCAGTCTCCCACTGTCTTGGTGGCCCTCTGCCATTGCTTCAGTTTACTGGTGCTTTTTTTATATCACAGGGCACAAAATTTTCTGTGGTATTGTAAGTGCAGCCTAACAAATAAAGAGGGATAATCACTTCCTTTGATCTGCTTCTATGCTCTCTTGTTGATGCAGTCCAGGAGGCTGTTGCTGTTCCATCCAGGCAAGCTGCTGGCTCATGTTCACTTCATTATCTGCCAAGACCCCCAGGTCCCTTTCCACAGAACAGCAGATCCTCACCTACTCTGTGTCTAGCCTCTATCAGTGTAGGGATTTCTTCCTTTTCAGGTGCAGGAATTTGCATTTGAACTCATTGAATTTCATAATGTTTCTGTTGCCCCATTCCTCCAGCCTGTCTTCATCACTGTGCTTGGCAGCTCTGCTCTTCAGCCTGGTCCCACCAGTTTAGTGTCATTTGCAGACTTGATGAGAGTGTACTCTTGCTGCTTTGGGTCATTGATAAAGATGTTAAAGAGGACAGGTTCCAGTATAGATCCCTGTGTTACTCTGGTTGTTACTCTTCTTTGGGTAGAGTGTGACTAGTTAACCAGCCAGCCAGTTCTTACCTTTGACCACACATCCAGACCGTAACAGTTCAACTTGGGCATAGGAATATTGTATATTTAAAGTGGTGGAGAATCCACCACTGCAGCAGGTAAATTGTTTCAGTGATTAATGGCCTATTCAAAATCTTTCACCGTAGTCAAATTCTTCAGTTTCACTTTTAACCATAAGAACATTTTTTCCTGTTCTCTGATAACTGAAGAATTCCTTTAAGGAAAATTTCTTCTGATGTATTTTCTTAAGGGAGACTCTTCAATTTTAAGCACACAGTAAGACTATACAGAATTGAGTCAAATTCAATATTTTTTTTTTTCACTTTTGGAACACTTAATCTTATACTTTGAAGTGGAAATACAAATGTAAGTAAACAGTAGTCTAAGAGTTAGAAAATGTAGTTGTCTTGTTGGTTTTGAGCTCAACATTTTCTGTATTTCTCTTTTCTGTAAGGTGATGACTGGCTGTTTCACCCCATGCTGCATCATTCAGAAACATCATGCAACATTTTTTAATGTTGTGAATTGTATTTCATCATGTAGTGAGCGGGTTAATTGGGAGGAGCTTTTAACTGCATGGTCTCCTACCTTCTTTGAAGTTTCTTTTCTAAATCACAAATTATAATGAGGATAAACAGTAAAAGCTGCGCCAAAGATCAGAAACTTTGAACGGGCCACTCTGTGTACTGAATTCAAAAGAGGCAAGAGTAGAAGCATGAAATGATGTGTTCTGCTGTCTCACAAACAAGCAGAATCTTGGTGATGAAATTTCAGGAGCATAAAATGTTGGTTTGTTGGTCGTTTTCTTTTTTCTTGGCCCATTAGCTATTTTATTCGAGATATGGGAGCAGTTAGACTCCTGCAATGACCTTAATGGAACAGATATGTGAACACCTGACATATGAAAGAAGTTGGTGTATTTTCGTTGCTGTGTTTTTAACTCGCCTTCAGTAATGTGCTGTACTAACGTTGTGTGGTCTGACACTCTGCATTAACATAGCAGGAGGTTAACAAAAATACAGCCTGTGTGCTTCTGTAATAATGGAGCCAAAGAGCATAAGAGATATTATATTGTGTTAATGGAATTCTCAAGAATTATATTTGGGGTTAGTTGTTTGTTTTACGTTATTTTTATTGGACATTTTTAACCACATTTTTCTGCTTCTTCTCTAGGCTGTGTCTGGCTTCCAGAGAATCTTGTCTACGTTAACGCTTGCAATGTTTCCCACCCTTTACTTTTTTACATTCCTTTATTATACAGACCCAGGATCAGTATTTTTCACACTTTTCGCCTATTTAATGTGCCTTTATGGTAACCATAAAACTTCAGCTCTCCTTGGATTTTGTGGCTTCATGTTTCGTCAGACAAATATTGTGTGGACAGTTTTTTGTGCTGGAAATATTGTTGCAGAGAAGCTAAATGAAGCCTGGAAGACAGAGTTACAGAAAAAGAAAGATGAAAAGATTTCTTCCAGGAAAGGATCATTTTCAGATTTGATGAGAGTATTGCAGTTTCTCATCAAATACCTCACATCACCTAAAAACTTAGTTACACTTACTGTTTTAACTTGGCCATACATCATATTAGTCACTGGGTTCTTTGTCTTTCTCTTCATCAATGGTGGAATAGTTGTTGGTGACAGAAGTAGCCATGAAGCCTGTTTGCACTTTCCTCAGCTGTTCTATTTTCTGTCCTTTACTGTCTTTTTTTCATTCCCTCATTTATTGACCACTTCTAAAATCAAGAAATTCCTTCTGTCATTACGAAAGCACCCTGTGCAGTACAGCTTAATCACTGCCATCTCTTTATTCCTGATCTGGAAATTTACCTATGTTCATAAGTATTTACTAGCAGATAACAGACATTATACATTTTATGTCTGGAGAAAAGTCTTCCAAAGACATGAGCTTGTAAAATATGTATTGGTTCCAGTCTATATATTTTCTTGCTGGAGTTTTGCTGATACACTAAAATCAAAACCGATATTCTGGATCTTGATGTATTTTGTATGTTTACTAGCAGTCACAGTTCCTCAAAAATTGCTGGAATTTCGTTACTTTATTTTGCCATTCTTAATATACAGACTCAATATTCCATTTCCATCTCTATATAGACAGCTTCTGGAGTTGGCTTTTTATATTGCTGTGAATGCCATAACTTTATATGTTTTTCTAACCAAAACATTCCAATGGCCAAATAGTGATGAAATCCAGCGGTTTATGTGGTGACCTTTTCTTTCCCAGTATATTTTGCATTATGTGAAGACTTTTTCCCCCAGTTGGAATTGGGGAAGTAAGCTGTTTGCTTATATTGTTGCAACTGAATGTGAGATCTGATATGTTGTCATGTGAAGGTATTCCATGTATTGAATTTATGAGCTCCTGGAATTAAAACATTCAATACGAAGGGGAATTTGAGCACATCTTTCTGTAATTTATGTGAAGTAAGAGAGATGTTTACAGTGATTTTTCATTATAACAAAATACTATATAACATTCTCTTGAGGATATGACAATTTGTAAGTATGTTTCAGAGGCTTCTCTTTAAAACAAAATATTTTGGTGTTTAACATTTTTGTTACCTCTGCATATTTGCTGCTTGGATCAGGCCATTTCCATCTAGGTTTGCTGGCAGGCAAGGTATGAACCACTACTAAAGTATGTTTTCAAAACCTCCTACATGCCACTGAATTATCATGATTTTTTTTGTCGATAAATGCTTACATTGGTTTTGCAAGCAGAATGTAGGCTCTTAAATCATTAAAGCAGTTTGAAAATTTTATTTCAAACTGGTACTTAGAAAATACAGTGGAGGCTGTGTGCATGTACCTTCTTTGGGGGAATAAGTGTTATTGTACAACAAAAGATAAATTGCAGTTGATAATGTGACCTGTTAGGAGGGAAGTTACACAGTGGAATGCAGCCTAATGAATACCCTTTTAAATAATCAGGCTTTTATGTCCTGAGGTTCTGTGTTCACAGGTTTGTACTGATGTAGGATCTGAGTGCACTCCCCAGTTGAACCGATTGTTTCTAAGATCTTTGACATGTAATCTTAAAGAAATACTAATGGCATTACTGAATTGTTCTTTTAAATGGTTTTCATATATATACAGATCTAATGGAACTAGGGAATATATATTTTGTATTACAAAGGTAAAATACAGTGTGTGTATATATATATTTTTAAAAGCATCTAGTGTATTATCTTGAGAATAAAAGAAGGCTGTAATGGTTTCTGGCTGTAAATGACTTTAATTAGGCTCAAAAATATTTGATTGCTTAAAGTTAACTATTAAGCTGTTTTATAAATATAACTAAACCATGTGGCAGGGGAGGAGATCCAAAACTTTGCATGCTGTGTAGCATTTTTAAGTTCTTTCTTGTTCTGTAATTAAAAGACAGCTGACAAATCCATGCAAACCTATTGTACTATTGCCATGCTAGTCACTCTGAAATGGAATTATTTCTCAAAAAGTCAGTACTGTGGAGTTATTTACTCACATTATGTCATGGGTTTTTTCATTTTTCTTTATCAGTCAATGGTATCAATGTCCTGGCTCTGATTCCCTACCTGTGCTAACTGTGAAGAGTGTGGTTAACTCAGATTCTCCTGCCCAATGT